GACACCTGAAGGGAGCTGTAACATTTCTTCTTGTTTTAAAGTTATTGGTTTGTGAAATGCTTGCTTTGAAACTATTGGCTGTATAAACGCGGGCTTTTGTGTAACGGTTGTGGAAGCCTATATAATCTTTACCTAAAATTGTCTCAGGGTCGATTGTCTAACCAGACCTGCATGTTTTGGAAAGGGCAGTTGACCCCAGCTAGCTGGTTTAATAAAACTCTGCTTGATTTTTGCATCTCCATACTCGTGCATTTGTTCTCCAGAAGAGACCCACCGAGTCAAGGACCGTAACAAGGTTTAATTTGGAGGGAACTGATGGCTTCAGATCAGCTATTCAGGAGTACCCACAGAAGCCCCATTCAGGTTCCAGTCAGGTACACTCAGGCTTCCTTCACCAAGTGGAAGCAGGATCTGGGGGCTCTCAGAAACCCTGTGTTCTCAGCCCCTATGCCAGAGGGAGGCCAGAACTCGGTACTCTCTGTGGGTCTGCTGAGATCAGAGCCGCTATACCAATGGAGGTTGAAACTCACCCTCTTAGGCTGTCTGCTAGGATCTCAGCCTTAGCCTAACAAAGCCAGATCTGCCCTGGGGCCTTGAAAGGAGCCTCACAAACTCCCAGGTAGGGAGATGGGTATGGCGCAATTATGAGAAGCTCTCCACCATGTGGAGGCAGGATCCAGGGGCTCTCAGGCAGTCCCCTGCATTCTCTGCCCCTCTGCCAGAGGGAGGCCAGAACTCAGCACTCTCTGGATGAGCCCCACTAGATGTCTTCTATTGTGCCAAAAGAGCTCTTATAATCCACGGTCTTGTTTCTGGAGCTTGATAACTGAGCTCTTACTCACCAGCCTGCTGCACTGTCCTCTTTCAGAAACATAGACACCATCCAAAAAAATTTCAGATATCCTTGTTTTTAACTGTGTGGCTTGCTGAATCAAAGCTACTGAATTTGAAACAAGTTCAATAGCATTCCCTTCAAAGATTAATTCATCCTTTGGACTCGAGAAACAGTGCAAGCAATACCTGTCCTTATCCAAACCTTGAAGATTTAGTTTTCACCCAAGAAATTTTGGATTTCAACAAGAGACCCATTCTCCTGTTGATGTTAGGTTTGTGAAGAGACCAGGATCACTAGAGACCACTCTGAGGCAAGAAAAGAAATTTGTTGGGATACAGGGGCTGCTGGACTGCTCCCATGGTAGAAAGGGAGCAGTGGTTTCTCATCACAACAGACTGGATTTTACAGGATTTTTCTTTTGTCAGTACAGGGAGGTGAGACTGTAGCAGGAAGGTGAATCTGTGCCTGGTACTTTGATAGAGGGGAGTTTCAGTTATGTGTTTTTTCAGTTGTCTGTGATGGAAAATTGCTGTTATGATTAGGATGTATTGTTAAAACAAAGGTCAGGTGGTTACTGAGACACTAGGATGGTTTAGTTTCTGTTTCCTGGAATGTTGCCCACCAGGTTATGATCGCCACATTGCTGGTCAGTAATGACTCCATCTTGGAACCCAGTTTGGCCTACCATAGACCTCGTCTTGTAATGGAAGGCCAGTGTTACATCCTTGATCATGTTCTGGATGTGACTACAGATAGTTTGTACAGTGGCCAGTTCCTTTCTGTTCCCCCACCATTCGTCAACCTGTAGCCTCTTCTTTTTCTTTCTCAGGAGACTGAATTCTACATTGATGTGATGGAAGTCCCTCTGGAGGGTTCCTCTGGGACCCTTCACAATAACTGTGTGTCCCTTTAGGGTGATGTCAACAGTCTGATTGCTCAGGATGGTCTTAATTCTCACAGAAGTGTAAAGAGGTTGAGTCCTGTAGGACAGGCATGTTGGAGGGACCAACAACAGATGGATGTCTGAACCCTAAGAGACTTCATAGAAAGGGAGGGAGACAGCCACCCCTCCCACCCAATCAGTCAGCTTCAATTGCATGAGGGGGAGGGTCTAAGGATAGGCACAGAAGCCAGGAAGGAGGCAGGAACTTCGCCATCTTGGGCCAGTGGGCAAGCACTGCAGATCTGGACAGTTCAGCCAGGATGTAGGGGAAAAAGCCCACAGTTGTCCATGCCTTTGTAAGTAACCCCTCCTCAACACCATAGCGGGCTCGGCCTGGGAGCCAAGAGCACACAGTGCAGGACTTCCAGAAATAAATTTGACTTTACAAGTCCATTCTTAACTTCTTTTATGAATGAGATGAAGAACCCTCTAGGGGATGCTGTTTTTTCCCTGCATCAGTCTCATAGAAATCCACCTGCCTCTGCCCTCAATTGATGGAATTAAAGGCACGCAACACCATGCCTGGCTTTTTTCCCCATTTTTGAGACAGGGTCTCACATAGCCCAGGCTGGTATTAAACTAGCAATGTAGCTGAGATGACCTTGAGCTCCTGATCTTCCTGCCACACTTTCTAAGTGCTGAGATTATAGGCATGGACCACCATGCCTGGCCCATTTTGGATGATATGGGTTTGATTCCTAGCACCAACATGGCAGCTAACAACCATCTGTAACTTCAGTTCCAAGGGAATCTGACACCCTCTTCTGACCTCTGCAGGCATTGTATGACATGGGTGCACTTACATACATGCAGGCAATAAACTCATATACATAAAAAATAAAAATAATATTTTTTAAAAAATATTTTCAATTATGTGTATATGTGTGTGTATCTATGCATGTGTATGTAAGTGCTCTCAGAGGCCAGAAAAGGGCATTAGATTCCTTGAAGCTGAAGTTATAGGCACCTAAGTGTGAGCCACCCAACATGGGTGCTGGGAATTGAACTCAGGTCCTCTGCAAGAGCAGCAAGTGCTCTTAACCACTGAAACATCTCTTCAGTCCTGGATGAACTCTTAAGGGAGAAGACAATAGTATGTTTTTGTTCTTTATCAGAAAGCCTTCTGCTCAATAGTAATATTGAGGAACTAGGAGTTAGGCACATTCCTGACAAGAAAGCAGATAGGGAAAGGGGCCACTGACAGTCATCAAGATGGCAAACTTCCAGCTCTTCCTCACCCACCACAAAGGTCTAGCAGGCTTTTTCTCCTGTTGCCAGGTCCCCTCCTAGCTGACCAGTCCAGACCAGTCTAGATACGTCCAGGGCTGATCCTGGACATATTTCAGCTTGGAGCTGTGAGCCTATTAGACCTGTCTTCTGTAACTTGACTAATCCAAAATAGGGGAGGATCTTTCCTATTCCACCAAAAATATTTAAAAGCCCCCAGGCCTTCCTGAGGGCTTTGGATTTCAGTTTCTGAATTCTCTCTCCACTGTGAAGAGTCTTTCTCTCTTTGTGCGTGTGTTTTCTTATTTAAAAATTTATTTATTTTTATGTTTGAGTGTTTTGCCTGCATGTGTGTAAGTATACCATGTGCATGCAATGCCCATGGAGGCTAGAAGAGGGCATCAGATACCCTGGAACTGGAGTTACAGATGGCAGTTAGCAGCCATGTGGGTGCTGGGACTGAACCCTGGTCCTCCGCAAGAGCAACCAGTGCTCTTAACCAATGAGTCATCTCTCCAGCCCTGTTTCCTTTCTTCTAACAAAGTTTGTTGCCTGCTGTGTCTGAGATTCTTACTGCCTTTTACTTGTTTGTCAGAGAAAACAAAACTGATCAATACTCCTAGAAGTTAACAATATTACATAATTTTACTGGCAGTTCAGAATGTCATGTGTGTACCTAGGGCCAGAGATACACTCAGATCCCAATTTTTTAACCCCAAATTGTTAAACAAATAAGAATAAAAAGGAATTTTAAGAATTTTAAATCTGCTGGGTGTTGTGGTGCACTCCTGTACTCAGGAGGCAGAGGCAGGTGGATCTCTATGGGATCACAGCCAGCCTAGTTTATATAGCAAATTCCAAGCCAACTGGGGCTACAGGGAGATCTGGTCTCAAAACAACAAAACAAAATCTAAAAACCTGTAAAACAGCACTGTTTTAGTAGGAAGAAACAGCATCCCCTTAATAGGCCTCAATAAAGACCTGACACCACCTTCCACCCTTGCAAGCTAAAAATCTACATAAGCTGCAAATTGGATGCTAGAACTTATCCACTGAAATCTAGAGCGATGAGCTTGTGGAAAGAAACAGAACCCAAGCTTTGCTCACTTGAGAGAGGCATATTAAACTTGATTTTGTTGTTGTTTTGCTTTTTTAAATTTGAGATAGGGTCTCACTATGTAGCCCCAGCTGCCCTGAAACTCACCGGGTATATCTGAAAAAAGACCAAAAAATTGTTGAAACACCACCTAAATAAATGGAAAGGCTTATTTTAGTGTCCTATGATGTACAGTGTTACCATGTAAATTATTCTCATCTAGATCTACTGATGTAATACCAATCAAAAACCTCAGTTTTTAAGATAGATAATGACAAGCTGATTTTAATATTCATATGGAAACACAAAGGGAGATAAAATAGCCTCATCAACTTTGAAAGGAAAGAACTGGAAGCCAAGCTATGATTTCAAGACTCATTCTGAATGTACAGGAAACCCAGAGGTGGAATACTTTTGTAAGGGCAGATGACAAACTGTTCACTGGAACAGAATACGAAGTCTATTAAGAGACCCATTCAGTTTTTAACGACTGAATTTTTACATTTTTACTTAATTTTTAGCAAGAAGACTTGTGGGAAAAAGAAAGCTCTGAACAAAAGCTAATACATAATCATAGGTAAAATGACACAAAACTTAGCTCGAATCAGAGACCTGTATTAAACAAAAAATTCCACCTTTCTCACAAAACAGAGGGGAAAATCTCTGTGCTCTTGAAAAGGGAGATTCCTTAGATATACCAAAAAATCCCATATAAATGTTCTAAATTGTCCACTAGCCTTGGACTAGCCCAGCCTGTTTCTTTCCAGATTCCGGAAGGCCTCTAGCCCTAACCCCTTTCCAGGATTCCCGCGTCGCACTCTAACGCCGCCCCGGAACCCCTTACCCCGCCCTGGATTCCCCTCGCGCCCCGCCCTAGATTTTACTATCCCCGCCCATCTCCTTGTTGCCTCGCCGGGCGCGCCCACGGCCTGCGTCTGCACCCGGAAGAGCCGCCGAGGCCGGGTGTCCCAGGGAAGCGCAGGCCGCGCAGAGCCCTGGCGAAGGCAGGCACGACGGACTCGGCGCGTCCCCGCGCACAGCGGCCCCTCGAGCGGCCGCGCGCACACCCCACCCCACTTGCTCCTCGGCGGTAGGGAGTCCCCGGCGCCCGGCTGGAGCTCCCGCACTCTGGGGAGCAGCGCGTCCCCGGCGACTAGACAGTGCGTGTCAGCCAGTAAGTTCCCGCCGTCGCCGCGTTCCCGGGGATTGCGCTGTCTCCCATAGTTAGTCCCAAGACAAGTCCACCTTCTTCAGTTTCTAAACTCGCGGCCGCTCCGGTGCGGCGCGGGCAGGTCGGGTTGGAGGACCTAGGGGTAGGAACCAAGTTTGGAAACCATCCCTTCCGGAGGAGCCGGGGGTCTCCACCTTTGCCAAGAGGCCGAACCGGCGGGCGGGGTGCGCGCACTGAGCGCGAGCCCGCGAGCGCAGCGGATCGCGCTCTCGCACGCGCGTCCCCGCTCCGGCAGGGCGTGGCCACGGCACGCGAGGGGCGGGGCTAGGCGGGGCCGCGCGCTCCTGGACCCGCCCTAGGCATGCCACCCAAGCGTGAGTGAATTTTTGGCGACACACGTCCTTCAACAGTATGAAATAAAGCAGAGCAGCTTCATTTGGTCGCCAGAATCCCAAAAAGAGAAAAGGAATGGGTACTGAAAGTTGCGCAACGAGCCTGTCCCACACAGTACATGGCTTAGATCTGTGCCTGGATGCACATGTTCATGCGTTAGCAAAAGCAGTCGTCTGACGTCACAGATGGTAAAAAAAATGCTGTGTTCAAAAAAGCTGGTGCACTTGATAATATAAAATTTCGGTGTAACTAGGCAAACAATCTGACCTTAATATGAACTTTAAATTCTTAAGATTTCAGGCCATATGTGGTGGTGCACGCCCTTAATCCCAACACTTGGTAAACAGGCAGGTAGATCTCTGAGCTCTAGCCTGGCTCACATAGCTAGTTCTAGGCCAGACAGGGCCGCATAGTAACACCCTATCTTAATTAATTAATTAATGGTCCCAGTGGAGCCATATTTCAAACCTCTAAACTCATGGCTCTTCATTTACTTTGTATTTATAGATCGCGAAGATTGTATTTTAGCCACTCTCGAGAGCACCAGTGTTCTGTTTTATTTTTTAAGTAAAGACCACAGAGTGGAAATACTACGTAGTCCCTTTCTAAATGCTTTTCTGTTTTACTTACGGATGAATATACATCGCCTAGCCAAAACCAAGCCATGATTTACTCTCATTCTCTTGGATATAATGTATTCATCTCTTAATCTTACACTGGACTTCTATGATTGTCGGTATTCTTGGCTTAACTGTGACATACTCTTATACCTTTCACAGCTTCTAACTAAGCAGCTGTTCAGAGAAGGCAATTTACTGCTAATAAATAGCAAATGTGATACATCTTAGGGATGCTAAGCTGTGAACTTTCTAGCAGTCCTCTGCAGTCTTCGTATTTATGGAGTATGATAAATGTTGGATAAATAAATAAGTCATATTAAAAGTACTTTCCTTCTAGGTACTTGCTCTGTTTCCACACTAAGACTTTCTTGATTGGGCAGCTGGTATAACCACCCACCTGATTCGGATACATTTCCTTCTCTGGGATAGTCACCTTGTTTAAATTGAATCCCTCACTCCTTTGTGCTCTTACTCAGATTGCATTTTGACCCCTTGCAGGACAGTTTGATTTAGATCTGTTTCATGGTTCTCTGAGGACACAGAGAACCTGTTACTGTTGGGGTTTGTTTTGTTTTGTTTTGTTTCTCATTTGCTAAGATAGTGTCTTATGCTTGGTAGGTGTTAGGAAATGGATATTGAATGGGTTTTGTGATTTGTGATCTGACCATATACATGAAAATAAAATGAGACAGGCTCCTTTTGGGACTAGAGAGATGACTGAGTGGTTAAGAGCACTGACTGTTTTTGTAGAGGACGGAGTTTGGTTCCCAGTCCCCACATGGCGCTTAACAGCCTTCATAGCTCCAGTTTCATGGGATCTGATGCCCTTTTCTGACCTCCTCAGACATTGTATGACACAGGTACATTTACATACATGCATACAATACATTCATACACATAAAATAAATACTGTTTTTAAAAGGAGATAGGCTCCTTTTAGTCACAAACATACATTTAAACAGGAAAAGGGCTTGCCAAGGGAGTGAAGTAGGTGAAATAAAGGACTTGCCAAGGGAGTGGAGTAGTTGAAGTATAGTCTGTATTACCTTTATTTTCAGACCTAGTTATTGTTCAAAAACTTATGCCCCTTTCCTTTCCTCAGCTTGTATAGCTTCTCTACACCCTTCACAACTATTTTTGCTGAAGCCTGAAATTTTCCAATGGTAGGAACATAAAGCAGGAAAAAATTCACCTCCTATACAGTCCTAAAGTGAATCAAAAAGTCAGAGTCGTCAGTTTGATTTGTTTAATTCAATTCAAAATATTCATTGTGTGTGTGTGTGTGTGTGTGTGTGTGTGTGTGTACACAGACATATTCGTGCCACAGCATGCATGTAGAGGTCAGAGGACAATTTTGGAAGTTGGTTCTTGCCTTCCATCTCATTTGAGGCATGGTCTCTCTTGCTTCTGCTGCTGTGCTGCGTATTCCATGCTGGCTGGCCCTGGAGCTTTGGGACATTCTTTTGTCTCCACCACCCATTTCACAGTAGGAGGGCTAGGACTACAGATGTGTGTTACCACCTCTAGCCTTTTTAGTTGGGTTCCAAGGGTTCAAATTCGGGTCAACAGGTTTGTGCCACCAAGTGCCCTTTTTTACTGATGGCCCCAACTTCACCAATTTTAAAAAAATATTTATTTGTTATTTTAATTAATTAATTAATTAATTAATTTTGGTCTTTTTGAGACAGGGTCTCCCTGCAGCCTCAGCTGGAACTATGTGGACCAGGCTGGCCTTGAACTTACAGAGATCTGCCTGCCTCTGCCTCCCGAGTGCTGAGATTAAAGGTGTGCGCCACCACACCCGGCTTTATTATTTTTTTAACAGAGCATAGAAAGGGGTTTATTTACAGAAGAGTGGGTGCCCCACATCTACAACTGCACCCTAAAGTCCACTCTCAAATACAGATCCTGTAACTTCCTGACAACCACACAAAATGGTGAGAGAGGTGCCTCTTGGTGTTCTTGGCTTATATATCTTTTGCCCCTCCTCCCACATACAGCTAAGGTCGACTGATTGGGTGGGAGGGGTAACTGACTCCCCCCTCGACCCCTTGCGAACTTCACCAATTTTTAAAGTACATGTTTTACATAATTATAATAGATATGTTTATTTAAGATTTGAATTCAGATATTCCTTTGTGATTATAGTGTGATGCAAAGCTGGGATGATTTAAAACCAAACAATATTTTTTTGTTAAATTGTGTACAAATCTTGAATAGCGAAGGTATAATACCATCCTCTTTTTTTTTTTTTTTTTTTTCCCCAGTAACCTCCATTCAAGATGAATAGTGATCAAGTCACACTGGTGGGTCAGGTGTTCGAGTCCTATGTTTCAGAATATCATAAGAATGATATTCTTCTAATCTTGAAGGAAAGAGATGAAGATGCTCACTACCCAGTTGTGGTTAATGCCATGACCCTTTTTGAGACCAACATGGAAATTGGAGAATATTTCACCGTGTTCCCCAATGAGGTGCTAACTGTTTTTGACAATGCACTTCGAAGGTCAGCTTTGGCAATTCTGCAGTCCCTTTCTCAGCCTGAGGGTTTTTCTATGAAGCAGAATCTTCATGCCAGAATATCAGGTAAATCATTTGAATATTTGTTGCTATGTACTTTTCTAGGAAGATTCGAAGGAAATAAAACACATGAGACTCAGAACATTAAGATAATAATTGATATTTGGGGCTGGAGAGATGGCTCAGTGGTTAAGAGCACTGACTGCTTTTGCAGAGGACCCGGGTTAGATTCCCAGCACCCACATGGTGGCTGCAAACCGTCTTTAACTCCAGTTCCAGGGGAATCAAAAGCCCTCTTCTGACCTCCGCAGCATTGCACGATATGGGTGCACTCACATGCATGCAGGCAATACACTCATAGACATACAATAAAAATAATAAAATATTTATTAGAAAAAAGAAAGAAGCCAGGCGTGGTGGCGCACGCCTTTAATCCCAGCACTTGGGAGACAGAGGCAGTCGATCTCTGTGAGTTCAAGGCCAGCCTGGTCTACATAGTGAGTTCCAGGACAGCTGAGGCTACAGGGAGACCCTGTCCCAAAAAGATCCCCCCCCCAAAAAAAAGAAAGAAATAATTGATATTTTTGGGCCAGCAAGATGGCTCAGCAAATACAGGTACTTGCTGTTAAGCCTGACAAGCTGCATTTGATCCGTGGAATTCATACTGTAGAAGGAGACAGCTGACTCACAGAAGTTGTCCTTCGACTTAAACGTACATACTGTGGTATATGCATGAACAGAAGCTTTCATACACACTCTAAATTTAAAAGGAAATAATGGATTTTATACTTAAAGTGCATATGGTTTTTGTCAAACATAGTAATGATTGTGTTCTGGGCCTGGGATAGATGGGATATATATATATATATATATATATATTAAGGCTGGAAAGATGGCCCAGAGGTCAAGAGCACTTGCTGCTCTTGCAGGGTACCTGGGTTCAGTTCTTGTCACCTACCAGGCAGCTCACAGCCATCTGTAACTCCAGTTCCAAGGGAACTGATGCCTTTTTCTGGTGTCTTAGCCTCCAAGGACACTGCATGTATATGCATCTATGCAGACAAACATTCATATACACATATCCTGTCTCAGGGTACTACCTCAGTGTTTTTTAGTGGCGGTAAGATGTTTGTATTTTGTCAGTTTTGCCTAACAATATGTTTCCTTTGTCTTTTTTTTTGTACAATTTTCAACGTCATAATATGACAGAAAAGAAACCTGAGTATTTTAATTACAGAATTTTGGATTTAAAAGAGAGGAACTTGTTTTCTGAGCAGTGAGCTATCAATTCTGAATACAGCAAAGACGTACATGCAGCAAAATGATAATACTCAGAATTAATATTAACAAACAGTACAGCCATTCCGAACAAGGCAAGTCAGCCTTGGAGGTATGGGAAAGGGAAACAGGAAAGGAAACAGGAGACCCTCAGTCAGCCGATGGAGCAAGCTCAGATCTATCTGTAGATTTGTTACCCCTCACATTAAGTTAGTGTAACCCAGTGACTCAAATACTCAATTTGTATAACTAATTTGCCTTTTTCCCCCCATACAATCCCACCATGAAGCCCAGACTGTCCTTTAACTCTAAATCCGCCTTCTCAGCTGCCTAACTGCTGGATTACAGGCATGCACCCAGCCTGATTGGCTTTATTTACCCACCCATGACTCCCGGACTACCTTCTAATCATGATTGCTTTGTTAAGCTTTCAAAGAAGATGTACTGATAGGGAGAAAGCATGCTGACCATAGAAACTGAAGCTATTACAGTACCTAGTATGGTTATTTCTGGTTGTTTTGGCAGATCCAAAAGATCAGTCTTCAGTGTATACGCTTACCAGATCTATACTCAGTCTTGGCCAAAAGGCCAAGAAGCAGTACTCACCAGGCATTTCAGTCACTAAATTCTGAGAGTGAGACTTGTATCATGAGCCAGCATAACAAACATGCCCCTGATAAACCTATTGGCAGCAGCCTTTGACCAGCACAGCTGGCATCCTCCCACTCTAGTGGTCCATCATAGCCAGACTTAATATTTCTATGTAAGACTTTTTCTTTGGTATTTTGTAACTTTTCAGTTACCTGTTTTTCTGATGTTGAAAATCATGCGTTTTTTAAAATTTTATGTATTTATTACTTTTATTTTATGTGTATGTATTGCTTGCATGTAGGAAGTACATCCATGTTGTACAATGCCCACAGAGGACAGAAGAGGTTGTCAGATCCCTTGGAACTGGAGTTATGGACAGTTGTTAGAGACCATGTGTGTGCTGGGATTCGAACCTGGGTCTTCTTCAAAAACAGCTCTTAACCACTGAGCCATCTCTCCAGCCCCCCGCCCCTGGTTTTTTTGGTCTCTCTGTAGGCCCAGCTGGCCTGGAACTTGCTTTGTAGACCAGGCTGGCCTGGAACTTACAAGAGATCCTTCTGCCTCTGCCTTCCATGTGCTGGGATTAAAGGCATGCGCCACCATGCCAGCTAAACCATGTATTTTTTGAAGGATAAAATGATACTATGGGTAAATGTTTATGTAAATTGAAGCTCAAAAAAACCATCAAATTTTCGTAATAGTATATCACTAACTACTAAGACGAATAATAACCTAGTGCCATTGGACACATGCTACCATCTACCATCATTTTGTTCCTTTATTGTGATTTACTGAAATCAGTTAATTTTGTGTGTAACAAGTGAAAGTATTTTGTTTATTAATATGGTTGGTTGGTTACCTACTTTATTTAGATCCTACTGAGAATCAATTCTTCTGCGGGGGTGCTGCTTATACCATCTAGATATGTGCTTTTAAAAGAGTCCATTGGTGTGGTAGTGGCACGCTTTTAATCCCAGCACTTGGGAGGCAGAGGCAGGCAGATCTCTGAGTTCAAGGCCAGCCTGGTCTACATAGTGAGTTCCAGGCCAGCTGCGGGCTACAGGGAGACTGTCTCAAACAGACCCCCCCAAAAAAACCAAAAAACAAAACCATTGGTTTGGTAACTGTTATCTAAAATTTTTAGTTATTTTCTTAATTGGGTTGATGATCTTATTTTTGCTTAAGTAAAACACAAACATGGTAAAGTTATTACCATGCAAGCATCAGGACCCAAGTTTGAGTCCCTAGCACCCAGTAATATGCTAGGTGTAGTGGTGAGTACTGCAATCCCAGCACTACGGAGGCAGAGACAGGACAATCCCAGGCTAACTGAATCAGGTCCAGGTGTCTTAGAATATAAGGTGAACAAACAGTTGAGGAAGATTTTCAACATAAGTCTCTGGCCTTCACACACACACACACATGCACACACACACACACACACACACAGTGTAAAGTAAAAAATAAAACACAGACTTTTTTTCCTTGAACTTATCTCTTTCCCAGAAAATATTAAAAGAATACATCACACGGAGTCAGTTATCAAGGTATAAGTTGATGATGTTGTTTTTTCATAGGTTTGCCTGTCTGTCCTGAACTGGTAAGGGAACACATCCCCAAAACCAAGGATGTGGGACATTTCTTATCTGTCACCGGGACAGTGATTCGAACAAGTCTGGTGAAGGTCCTGGAGTTCAAGCGGGATTACATGTGTAACAAGTGCAAACATGTGTTTGCGGTGAAGGCTGACTTTGAACAGTATTATACCTTCTGCCGACCCTCTTCATGTCCAAGCTTGGAGAGCTGTGATTCTTCAAAATTCACTTGCCTCTCAGACTTGTCTTCATCCCCAGCCAGGTGTCGGGATTACCAGGAAATCAAAATTCAGGAGCAGGTAAATGATCAAATAAATGAGAAAAACAACGAATTTGAAGAAACAGTTTTCTACTACAGTCAAATTGTTGGGACTGGGGAATACTGAATAGAAACAAATGCACTGGTATCATCACTCTGTGAAGGACATTTTCACTTGTAGTAAAGAAAGGGAGACCTAATTTTTCCTCTCCTTAAAGGCAGAGCTCTTCTGCTGAGTCAGTGAGGAGCTAGACTGCTGAGGGCCAACATGCAGGCTTCCCAATGTGGAGCACTCACACTTCACTCTTCTCATTCTACCATTGTTTTGTTTAGGTAGAGTCTCACTCTGTAGCCCAGGCTGGTCTGGAACTTGCCATCTAACGCAGGCTGGCATCAAATTCATGTTTATCCTGCCACAACCTCCCGAGTGCTGGAATTGTAGACATGAACCACCATGCCTGGCTTTATTCCACCATTTTTACTTCATGGCTTCTGTTCTTTTGGTGCTCTCTGGTGCAGGTGTGCTATAGCTTCATCACATCTGTATTCTGGTGAGAAACGAAAAGGAAGGTCATGCAAGTGCATCTAGTCAAGTCCTGGCCACCTCCTCTGACATGCTTGCTGACATATTTCATTGGCCAGAACTTAGCCATATGATCACATCAAGGTGCAAGGGAGCTTGGGAGATAGTCATTTACAAGCTCATGTCTACATGGAATAATACCAGGGTTCTTTTAATAAAGAATAATCAGAGGGACTTGGTGATTTGTCTAGTCTTCAGACTAGAGATTGAGGAAGAAATGTCTTTCCTTTTTTAGATAAGTAGCTTTGTTTACATGGTTGGTTTGAGCATGTATTTATATTGATCATCTACAAGGGAGATTGTATTTGAAGATTTTCCCATATTGATGCTTTAATTTTACTCTAGTTTTAGTGAATTATTTTTCTTAAGCTTTATTTATGTGTATGCATGTGTATAGAGGTACCTGCAGAAGTATGAAGAGGGCATCAGATCCCCTGGAGCTGGAGTTACAGGCAGTTGTGAGATGTAGGTGCTAGGAACCAAACTTGGATCCTGTGGAAGAGCAGGAAGCTCTCAAACTGCTGAGCTCTCTCTCTTCAGCTCGTAGTTTTAGTGAATCCTTAAACTGATATCAAGCATTATTTTCAAGAATAATTCCTTAAGTTCCCATCTGTATTAGTAACTTTTCTGTTGCTGTGATTGAAACACTGACCAAAGCAACTTATAGAAGGAAGAGTTTGAGCTTACGGTTCTAGGGGAATTACAGTCCATCTTGGTGGGGAGGCATGGCGACAGAGGTGACTGGAGGAGGAGTGGAAGTTGGGCTCTACATCTTCGAGCAGACACAGGAAACAAGAGAGCAACTGGAGATCCAGCAAGGCTTAAGAACTCTCTAAGCCCACTCCCAGTGATGTGCTTCCTCCAGATTAGCCACACCTTGTAAGACCTCCCAAAACAGCACCACCAACTGGGGACAGAATGTTCAAATACTTGGAGCCTATGGGGGACATTTTCATTTAAACCACCACATTCCATCCCCTGGCCCCCATAAGGCTTATGACCATATAAAATGCAAAATGCATTTAGTCCAACCTTAAAAGTCCCTGTAGTCATTACCAGTCTCAATACTATTCACAAGTCCACAGTCTAAAGTCTCTTCTGAGACTTGGGGGGAAATAACTGTAAGCCTCTATAAAATCAAAATACAAATTACATATTCCCAACATACAGTGGAACCGAATATACATTCCCATGGAGGGAATGGAGGCATAGTGAGGAAATACCAGACCAGAACAAGACTGAAAACCAGCAGGGCAAACACCAAATTCAGAAGGTCCATGTCCGACTTCTGGGACTTATTTCCAAAGGACTTAGATGGCTCAGCCTCTCCAGCTTTGCTGCATTCAACATACATCTCTCTCTTGGGTTGGTACCACTCCCTGCATGCAGGTCTTCTTGGCAAATGCTTCACAGCTGTGGCATCATGAACATCTTCTTGGGGTCTCCATTGCCAGCCAGGCTTCACCTTCACAGCTTCACAGAATGGCCTATCAGGGCCTTCTTTATGCAGAGTAACCCCTGCTGCATACTGCCTGGCCTTAGCAAACTGTGGAGGAAGAACTGATGAGCCCTTCACGCTTGTATTTTTCATGCCACTAAAGCCAGCACCAGCTGACTTGCAGCTAAGTTTGACTGTAAGTTTGGGATGGACTCCAGCCTGCTTTATCCATTTTAGAAGCTTTTCTCTTCAGTGGCCCCTGCAGCATTTTCCTTTTACAAGTTGGAGGCTTAGCTGGGTGTGGTCTTGCCCTGGAGGCACTCTCTCCATTGTTTAAGTGCAAATCTCTAGGCCCCTCCTTAATCATTTTAATCGCTTTATCAAAGGAATCCTCTCTAGCACACGCCTCAGCTCCAACATTTATCTTTTTTTTTTTCAGTCCAAACTGTACATTCTGCATTTCTTTCTGCCCCATTTGCTGTCTTTCACTATAGATCTGCATAATATTCACCATTGATAGCCACTTTCTACTTTAGGCTGTCTTGAAATCTACCCCCTCCCTGAGAAATTAGTCCATTGCTTTTCAGCTTAGCCTTAGGCAAGACAGACTCTGCCAAAATATCTCAATTGCTGCATAAGTCCTTCTTTCCCTCTGGAACTGCATTGTTCTCAGCATTACTTTCTTCCAGGTGCCTACTAGAACAGCCTGTTAAGCTCTGCTTACAGCAATCATCTGCTTTTCTAGCCCAAACTTCCAGAGACTTCCACATTCCTCCAAAACCCCATATGGTCAGATTCCTCACAGCCAACAGCCCACTCTCTGGTACCAATTACTATATTAGTCACTTTTCTGTTGCTGTGATAGAAACACCGAGTACTCACGTCTTCAAGCAGGCACAGGATGCGAGAGAGCAACTGGAGGTCCAGCAAGGCTTGAAAACTCTCTAAGCCCTCCCCCAGTGACATGCTTCCTCCAAGATAGCCATACCTAAGACCTCCTAAAACAGTGCCACCAACGGGGGACAAAAATGTCCAAATGCTTGGAGCCTATGGGGGACATTTTCATTCAAACCACCCCATCATCATAACTAAATTATATGATAATGCCAGAGAAATGGAAACAATAATTTCAGATACCACCAGATTTCTGGATAGTTAGCATGTATTTAAGCATACTTAGTATGTGTTATATTTTCCTTGCTAGGTTCAAAGGCTGTCTGTTGGAAGTATTCCACGATCTATGAAGGTTATCCTAGAAGATGACTTAGTAGACAGTTGCAAATCTGGTAAGAAGGAAAAAAATTCTTTTTAAGTTTTTGAGTTGGTACCTATGTTGCTCAGGCTGGTCTTACTCCCTCCCTGCAAGTAGCTGATATTACAGATGTATGCTACTTATTATAAGTAGCCAGCAAGAATAAACTTTTGGTAGTTTGTGTAGGAGGCCCTAAATATTCATTATTTTTATTTTCCCCAAGATTACTAACAAGGGATTGAGAGGCTTAACTGCTCAATTTGTGAAGAGTTGGCCATTGGAAGGGGTGATGGGAAGAAAGCTGGGCTGGGACTTAGGTATCGACTCCTGCTGCTTGCTTTGTAGAGTAAGAACTGGTCTTGGATTTGTCTAACGTCATTTAAAGGGTTAAGTACAGAACTGGAACATGGATCCATGGTTCTCTTGAGTGCACTGTGGTTTAACAGTAGCAACTTAAACAAGGCTGGTGGGTTTGGTCGACAGATGACTCTGAGGACTTGACTGATAATGCTACTTAAAGTCTTACTGGCACCTAGATAAAAGGAAAAGGAAGTGATTATTCCACTCTGCTCTGTGCTGGGGACACTACAATGAGTGATGCTGATATAGAAAAAGAATATCCTTTGTGGAGATGTTTCCATTATGAATTATGTCTGAATTATGTCTGCACTGAAGATCTTAAGCTGTATTTCTTTTGGATGTTATTAATAATAAAGGATAGGGGAAAACAGTCTGTCAACAGTGTGGGTTTTTTTGTTTGTTTGTTTTAATTTAGCCATAGCTGTAGGTCTAAGGAATCAAAAGATAGAAAAAGTATAATCCTTACCCTTCTGGAATTTAGTCCCCAGAGCAGTAAAAATGGGGGTTATGCTGATAACTGTGCAGATCAAAGGTATGGGCCTGACTGGGGATGGCTGCAGAATAAAGCCGCTGGGAAAGGTAGAGGTGCACAGACGGGCTGGAATGTTCAAGTGGAAGACTTGTAGCTTCTTGAAAAGAATAGCTTGTATATTTACCATAGGGAAATACAAAAATTTTAAATGAATGTCTTGTTACCATGGACTTGATAGTTGCAATGATTATATGAATCTGCCAGTCAATAAACACTTGAGTAAATGAAAAGTTTTATGTATTGAAACATTTTTAAATGCATTAGTTTCTATTTTAATGTAATAGCTAATATTTGTTGAGAGCTGTTTTCTTGACATTGTAGACATTGAGACATTGTAGCAATGGAGCTGGGATTTACATCCAACCTAATGAGAATTGTTATTCTTGGCCGTTCTTCATTCCTCTTCATTTTCACATACACATTGTTTATTGAAGTTTGATTATTATATCTAAAGTTAAATTCCTGAGTTACCTCATGTGGAAAGAACCTAAATATAAAATTCATTAGAATGAACATAATAAAGGGCTGTTTCAAATGTTTATATAAACTTATGTAAGTCATTTTTTTCTAAAAATTTAAGGGAGAGAGTATAATAAAAGGTCCTGATTCCAGATTGATTTTGAAAGCCATCAAGCATTTGCTTAGGAAAAATCTTGGAAGTACATAAAACATGTATTTAATGTGTTTGTCATATTTGGTATGAAGTTGCATTTAGCTAAAAATGTGATTTCTAACATGTAAATTAGCACCACCATTTCCATGCAGCTAGCATTTATGGAACACTTTTCTTCAGGAAATCAAAGTGCCACAGATACACATTACTCATTGAGATTTACAGAGTGGAAGACATTTTGCATCCCAAATAACATAATTGGCACAGTCTTGGGCATGAAGAATTGCCTGTTCTGAGACAGTGTTTGTGGTACAAAATCTAAATACCAGGATTAGGTTTGAGATGTTCAAACATGCTACATTCAGGATGACTGAAATTTGGGGGGATTAAGTTTATGAAGTTAAGTTTATGATGTTTCTGGTTCCCCTTTCTAAGAGTACATTATATGTGATAGAATCACAGAGGTTGATAATTGGTAAATGTGCCTGAAGCTTCCCACAGTCTTTTAAGAAAACAACAGTCTGATATTCTGTCTACCAGGAATAGGTTTTCCTCAGGTAGGAAGGAACAACTAAGGAGCACATGGGTTATTGTTTTGTGCTTCTGTAGTTTGAAGTGGAATCAGTAGTCATTGTTTTTTTTTTTTTTTTTACGTGTATGAGTGTATTGCCTGCATGTATGTGAGTGCACCTGTGTCATGCAATGGCGTGGAGGTCAGAAGAGGGCTTTGGATTCCCCTGAAACTGTAGTCAAGGACAGTTTGTAGCCACAGTGTGGGTGCTGGGACTCGAACCCAGGTCCTCTTCAAGAGCAGTCAGTGCTTTTAACTGCTGAGCCATCTCTCCAGCCCCATCATTGATTTCTTATGTTAACTCCTTCATTGAGAAAAGCTGGGGATGACTATTAAGATATTAAAAACAAAGTAAAAACAAACATAAGAAGCTAAAGTATATGCCACATCTCTTTTCCTGATACTAAGTTAATTACAGTTTAACTTCCGGCTGCAATCTCCATATATTTTCTCTAAATAAGAGCTAAATGGTTACAGTCTCAAAGAATAAACATGTTGCCCAACATAACAATGATAAATACACTATCCAGTACCCCATTCCCAGTGAAGTGTAATTTTGTGTAATTATCAAATAGCAAATTACAAAAATAAAAATGCAGACGCTAGCATTTTAAGTATGTAGAAACAAGTATTTGTGGGAGGGAAATTGAAAATTTGGGGTGTTTTGTCCCAGAATTGCTAATTGCTTTCTGAATGAGTGTATATACTCAAAACTAAGTATGGGGGTGACATATTTCTAATTTGTAGTCTTTCATCACATTTGGGGCCCACCATGCATGATGCTGGTGCTGGACTCACTTGACGCTTTTTCCTAGGAGATGACCTCACTATCTATGGGGTTGTGATGCAGCGGTGGAAGCCCTTTCAGCGAGATGTGCGCTGTGAAGTGGAGATAGTCTTGAAAGCCAACTATGTCCAAGTGAATAATGAGCAGTCCTCAGGGATGGTCATGGATGAGGAAGTCCGAAAAGAATTTGAAGACTTTTGGGAATACTATAAGTGTGATCCTTTTGCAGGTTTGTTTGTGATTAAGGTCATAAGGCTTATCATTAATGGCATTAAATTCAGTAAATATGATTTGTAGAGTTTACATGTGGCCCATGTCAGTGGCTCAGTTCAAAGAGTAGCATTAGTTATTATCTCTTAACTGTAGTCTTCTTTTCAAGCCCATTTCTGGCATTAAGATTTTTAATTTTCATCATCATTTCATGTGCATGTACATATGAAAGCCAGAGGTCAGTCCTAGGTGGTGGTGTTCCTCAGGTGTCATGCACCAGGGGTCTGTTTTGTTTTGTTTTAAGCAAGCTCTCTCCCCGGGATGAAAGGCTCATAGATTAGACTAGGCTTGCTGGTCAGTGAGCCCCCACGCACCATCTGTCTGTGACTCCCTAGTACTCGGTTACAAGCTCATGCCACCATGAGTGCTGGGTGTCAAACTAGGGTTCCCATGTTTACATGTATTAAACACAGTTTTTTATTTTTATAATAAAGACATCTCACTGTTTTAGCTGCGGATGTTAAAATAGGGAGTGTGAAAGAGCTGATGAAAGTCATATGATCTGTGAATGAGTTTGTCAAGACAGCAGAAATTCTGGCTGTGAGCTTACAGTGTATTACACAGAATAACACATTATAGCCTTTGGTTTGTAGAACATGTTTTTATTGAAAAAAAAAAATCCCAAATGTATA